AACTAGCTTACCCGATAAACATTTTCTTGCCTTAACTATGATTATATATATACATATACTAGCGGACCCGACAGACGTTGTCCTCTCTACACTTTTCAATTTGAATATTATTTAAAATTTGACACTGCAATGGTAGCGCCGTCTGTTGGATCCAATGTAAAACATTCCAAAATCAACAACTACTAATTAATTAAAAATTAACTAAAAAAACATTGTCCAGCGGACAAAATTGTGAATCTAAACCATTCCCAGATCCCCTTGAACACACACAAAAAATTTCATCAAAATCGGTCCAGTCGTTTGAGAGAAGTTCAGTGACATACACACTCACAGAAGAATTATATATATATAAAGATATAATTAACCTTCTCCTGACAATAATAAACACAACCAAGAAAGATTTAACAAAATTGTTCCAATTCCTTTGTGACAATTCACTAAATATGGGTTGAATAATGTTGATTAAGACTTTTTTAGATTTTCCATGATTCTTCTCATACAGCTTGCAATTGAAAATGTTGTAAATAATTATTGTATATGTATTACTATATTACATAAATAAAATTGTTTCTTTCAATACCTACTTTATCCTTCATAACTACATAAATAGAACATTGTGGAAAAAGAAACAAGCAACATCTTATGGGACAATGAGTCATCACAAATTATACCTTTACGATCTGTTATCCTTAGCTAAGGAAGATCTCTTAACGAGCTGGGAATCTATGTGGTCCATTTCCTCAAATAGTAAGGGCAAATATTATGCAGACATTCAGAGCCATATACCAGTCAAACCATGGTTTTTTAAGTACTCTGGTGGAAATAAGCAAACCACGTCAACGATCTGTCGACTACGTTTAGGCCACGCATGCACTCCTGTTTTTCTGGCTAAAATTCGTGTGAAAGACAGCTCCCTATGTGAATGCGGTCTAGAGGAAGGAACGGTGGATCATATTTTTTTTACTTGTCCTAAAAGGACATCATCATTATTGGATATACTTCCCAATTCCATCCCTCGTCCCACTAACTTTAAGACTCTCTTAACTTTTGTAAATACTTCGTTTATTAATATTTTATTTGACTATATTAACACTAATAATATTAGACTCTAAGTTGTACGTCTTATAACCTACTAACAATATTTAAATGTTTGTGTCTGTCCTTTTGGGTAAATCAACAGTTTCAGGTATTATTCGTTTTTATTCTTTGGTTCACTTGTATATTCACAAGACTTCTCTACAAGCAGAGTATTGTTGCCAGTCTCTAACAAGTTTAAACAGAACCATAAACACTTGACATTGGCCCAATCCGATGAGGGAGAGCCATAAACAAGAAACAGAACAGAAAAAGAAACAAAAAAATTGTGGTGCTGATACACAAAAAAGAAATGTATTTATTTATAATAGCCAAATAACTGTAATAAATAAAAAAGTTTGATGTGATGAGCACACATTTGATCAATTAATTTTATTACAAGACCGATTATTACTCTATAGTTCTTAGTTTGTGGAACCATTCATCATTCATAACCTGTTCTATGACAACCATCCATTAATCCTAATACAAAATTAATTTGATACTCCAAACTATCACTTCTCAAAGTAGGTACTAACTTACATATAAATATTTCTAAGACATTTCAGTTAAATTACACTAATTTACCTCTGCTGACACCAACTCAGAAATAACAGTAATTGTAAAATATAGAAGAGAAAGAACAGAAATTTCTTTCTTTCCATGGTGTTTATGTGATATTTTGTTACTTTTTAGTACTTTTTGTTTGTTTAAAAATGTTTTTTTATGAATAAAAAGTATTTGAGATGACCAACAACCCAGATCATAAAGGCCACTGGGGTGACATGGTGACATGAAATAAGTGCTCCGGGAAGCGTCAAGGCCACTGGGGAGGGATTTTAATTGCAAAACGTGTATATTAATGATTTTTTCATAGCGAATTTATCTTTGGCTAACATATGGTGGAACTCTGTCAATTCAGACACACATTTTAACTAGTTGTTGGTGTACATTTAATTGTAATACAAAAATAATGTACTGTTTATTTATATTTTTATAGTTGTGTAACATGCAAGATTCAACTATTATTTTGCCCCATATAAGGTTAGTTCACATTAGATCTACGCGTATTGAAACATTGGCGCGAGTACTTAGCACATACCATGAGTGGAAGAGCAGCGCCGGTTGCACGATTCGAGTAGGTATCATCGCCACAACTCATGATGTGACATCGCGGGCAAATAGTTAAGCTTTATGTTGTTAAAAAACTATACAAAACACAATTCAATTAAACAAAATTCACTGTACTGTACTGCACTACACTACACTTGGATGCTAAGATGTTTGTTTTGGTGTATATCAAAAGGAACATCCTTAATGTTTTCTATTAAGTTGAACAAAAATATAACTTCATACACTTAAATTACTTCGGCACATGGGGGAGGATTTAAATTATGATATAATATATGATTTCGAAACGCTGCTATAAATACCGCCACAATTCCTTCTGACAAATACATACTGTCGGCCATATTGATTACCGATACTATGTACAAGTTTAGTCATAAAGTTCTTTCAAGTAATCTGCATTTCCGAAAGTAACACCAGGACATTTTGTTATTTTACTTCTAAAATAAAACTAGTTGCATAGTGATTGACTTAAGTTTTATTATATTTTGAACAAAAATCGGCAAAACGACCTATACGAGCATCATTTTCGCGATAAAGTTGAAATTTGAAGTTTGAGATAGGGATGACGATCTCAAATCGATTAATCGAAGAATCGATGCATCGGACCAAATAATTCGATTATTAAATCGATGTGTTGTACTGAATCAATTCAGTGTATCGATATTTTACGCTTGAAAATCGACATTCGATTTTAATACACTTTCACTAGAAAGTCAAGGCTTAAATGAAGAATTTAAACACTTTATCACAAGCAATTGTGCACCTAAAGTATGAACAAAAAAAAACTCTATTTTATCATCATGTTCACTCAATAGCCGTGATGTATATGAGTATCGTAGGATCATCTGTTCCTTGTGAGCGCCTTTTTTTCAGTTGACGGCAACCACTTGGATCCCAGTAGACTTGACAGATTGTTGTTTTTAAAAAGCTTAGGTATAAAGCATGGGGAACTATAAGCAATATGATCTATTTTCTTAACTTTTTATACATTAAACAAATACATTTAGAAAATAAACGCCTTCTTTTATAATTGATCTGATATTTTGATAATTAGCTGAAAATTCCTGATTATACGAATAAGAGATCCCAGACATTGTTTATAATGGTATCGTTCTTGTTTTTCATAAAATGGATTTATTTTTACGATTCGAATCGTAAAAAATCTTTACGAATCGAATCGATATAGAAAATCGATCTTTTTAGAAGGAATCTCCATCCCTAGTTTGAAGCAAAGAACAACGACAAAGAGTATGTAAAATGTAACTGGGTATTATTTTATGTACTCTTTGATTATAGGTACAAATTCTTAAGCTCTTTCCTTTTTTTTTAATTTTATGACCTGGTAACATAGACCTTTAGGTCATATCTTATTTGGTTGGCTATTTACATTTAGAGTATATCAAAGAGTATATAAAAATATGCTAACTACACACTCTTTGGATTTGGTAATTGATTTACTTTTGACCAAAAAAGATATGACCTAAAGGTCTATGTTACCAGGTCATAAATTTAAAAAAAGTAAAAAAAAAAACTTTAGATGATTTTTGACGGCTGACAGCAGACAGCCCCTGACGTTGACGGGCTGACGGGTGAATTCATTTCATTTCATGATTCATAATTTCATATTTGCAATTTTGCAACCGTTAAATAATATTTCTAATTCTAATTTAGAGGCTATATACCATTGAATTGCAAACAATTGATAACATTTACCATAAATGAAATTTGCAGATTTGTTTTCATTTTGACATTGTTTAAACAAGTTACCCAAGACTATAAACTTTACACTAATATTTGTGTAAACCAACAAGATGTGTTGGCAGTAGAAGAAGGAAGACACCCGTAGCGTGTTTTAATGTAGGTAAGTGACGCCCGGCACCAAAACAATTTTACTTAAACTTTTATAACTGGTTGCAAAGTTTGAAATTGTAAAATTATACAAAATGTGTTTGGTGAGACTTCAAGCATCAAAATTTTACCCATTTACGTTGTAAAAATTTAAATTTTATTTGTGTGAGCAGTTGTACTTTATCTAGGCATGAATTAGTGCAATAATTTTAAATTAAATGAAACACTAGGGGTGTGGAGTGTTTAAATGACACTTGCCACATGTTGTCAAGAGATTAGGTATATGTAGAATTGTATACCTTGATATTTGTTAGCACAACATTTTGCACATTGACTAGGTCAAACAATTGTTGCAGGAACATTTTAATATAACAGCTACAAATAAGTTTCTCGTAAGTTTTCAGTGCATATATATATATATATTTTGTTTTTGTATTCCATTAATATTGTATAGAATTTCATCAATGTATATAGTTAGGTTTATTTAATATTGTCAAGTATGGACTAGTTTGGGTACAATCATTTTAATGTAACACACATTTGTATTTCCTTTTATTGGAACAGAGATTTGTTTCTTTTTCACTAATCTCAAGTTAAGGTTTCATTTTTTGGGCTGCCTTCTTTTGTTTTGCTTTATCTATCTATACATATAATAAAAATGGTAAATTGTATGTGCTCAGCTGTGTCGCTGTGCATGTGTCTTGTGTCACATTGACATTCTGCGAGCTAAGCTGAAGTCCATTTTGATATAAAGCTCACCTTATACTGGAATACATTATATTTGAAACTCTTGCTTTTTATTGACATTAATTGTTTTATTCATTGATTGTGAGAAAACAAAGGCTAAATGATAAATGAAGCCTACATAACATATTAGTGAAAACTGCATCAAATATATATGATTTTAGTTCCCTTTATTCACTTGACTTACCTTTGTTTAAAGTTGCTCTGCTTAGATCTTAGTGGCCTTTAATGTTCATAATAATCTTTTAATTTCTGTAAATACACTATAATATTTTGGGAAGTTGATGAGATACAATTAACGAGGCATGTGTTGTGTTCTAATCAACTATGTACATATTTATGTGGAACAGCACCACACCAACAAGTTATTTGCTTATAGTTTTGTTTACACTTTATTAGTACTAGCCTATAGTCTCTTAGTTAAGCGCAATATTCGGAAAACAAAATCTTTAAAATAGATTTTGTTATAAACAAAATTCATTGGTTACTTTGTAAAACATTAATATAAATGTAAAAGTTTTTATCACCTTTGATGCCTTGTTGTGTTGATGCTAAGTAAATTTAGATAATAAGTATTTAAGTTAAACCATTTTATTCCCAGCCTAGGAATCTAGCCTAGCCAGAAATATTAAAGGCATAGAAAAGAAATTTAAATCTACACTGGCAAAGATTTCAAATTATTCTTTTGGAAAAAGGTGAAATATTTTACTTCCCTTTGATCGTACTCTGCTCCTATTGGGGAATATTCTGACGTGTAAGATGATGAAATAAAGAAGAAGAACAGCACATGGTCCTGAATTGCTTTCAGGGGTGGGAGTGCGTGAGGTATGTGGCGCGGAGCGGGCGCGCGGTGGCGCGCGGCGGCGCTGCTGGCGGTGGGCGCGCTGCTCGTATGGGCGTGGGCGACTCGGCGTAGCGTGGGCGTGGGCACGGGCGAGGGGCGGGGCGCGGTGGGCGCCGGGGCGGTGGCGGGCCGCGAGCTGCCGCTGATCTTCATCGGGGGCGTGCCGCGGTCGGGCACGACGCTGATGCGCGCGATGCTGGACGCGCACCCGGAGGTACGGTGCGGGCAGGAGACGCGCGTGGTGCCGCGCATCCTGCAGATGCGGCAGCACTGGATGCGGTCGCAAAAGGAGAGCGTGCGGTTGGAGCAGGCGGGCGTGTCCAAGGCGGTGCTGGACAATGCGATAGCTGCCTTCTGCCTGGAGGTGATCGTGCGGCACGGCGACCCCGCGCCGCGCCTCTGCAACAAGGACCCGCTCGTGCTCAAGATGGGCACCTATGTGCTCGAGTTGTTCCCCAATGCTAAATTTCTCTTCATGGTCCGCGATGGCCGAGCCACCGTTCACTCGATCATAACTCGCAAGGTACTGGTCCTATTTATAAACTATATTAGTTACATTCGTAAATAGTTCGGTTGTTATTTGGGTGGCTTGATGCGAGGTGATGCGAGGTGACGCGAGGTGGTGTGGCAGGTGACCATCACGGGGTTCGACCTGTCGAGCTATCGGCAGTGCCTGAGCAAGTGGAACCACGCGGTGGAGCTAATGTACCAGCAGTGCCGGTCGCTGGGCCCGGCACGGTGCCTGCTGGTGCGGTACGAGGCGCTGGTGCTGGCGCCGGCGGCCACCATGCGCCGCGTGCTGGCCTTCCTGGACCTGCCATGGGACGAGGCCGTGCTGCACCACGAGCGCTACATCAACCAGCCCAACGGCGTCGCGCTCTCCAAGTATGGCTGACCACCTCCAACTATTCCCCAAGTCACACTCTCATTCCATTAACACATACATTTACTTAATGTAATTTTAACTATTATACATTAACCAATACTGCTAACATCACCATATCGGACATGCTTATGTACAACAAAACAATAACACTCATTAACTTTGTATAGTATATGTAAAAGAAATACTGCTTTTACTGAAGTAAATGCACTGCCCGTACAGTGCGCGTGCACGTACACAAACACATCACATGGACATCATTATATTAAAACCCCCTCATCTGATAACGGTTCCAAAGTTATAAGAAACAGTGACTAGATAACAATAAGCAAGTCCGCCTTCTTTACAGTCGCCACAATAGTTAGAGTGGCTGCCCCCCCCCCCACGCACCCTCACCCATCTCACACCGCACTCAACTCCAAGTCATGTATCGATCGATCGAATCACTCCTTCCTTTATTCGAGTATAAACGGTGGCTTCCACTGTCGAAGCACCTTACCAGTTATTTAAAAGAGAACGGAAGCAATGACAAAATGTTCTTGTAGCAGTGCTTCGGCAGTGAAAGCTGTGTTCGCTCTTGTTGTGTGTAATGTTGGCGAAGGCGGTGGTGAGGAAGATGGTAAGGAGGTGTGTCGTGTGCAGTGTGGAGCGCTCCTCGGACCAGGTGGTGCGGCCGGTGAACCTGGACGCGCTGGACAAGTGGGTGGGCCAGCTGCCGGCGGACGTGCGCGCCGACATGGCCGAGCTGGCGCCCATGCTGTCCGTGCTGGGCTACGACCCCTGGGCCAACCCGCCGCACTACGGCACGCGCGAGCCCGCCGCGCCCTCCTCCGCCTGACGCCCTCCTTCGCCTACCAGATGACTATGGGACTACTTTATTATATTTTTGTGTTATGCGATTAAATGAATTGTATATATTTGTAAATAGACGATATCGCCCTTGTGGCAGGAGCGCGCCCTGCGGTCCCTTAATTAAATTCTATTTTATGTTTCAAAGTTTTTCATTTTTAACGAAGTTTAAACATATGCAAATAAAGGATCTACACACTGTAAAATCCCTGCGCCCTGTGTCTGAATCAGCTCGCTAGCGCCCCCATGTCCAATGTCAAAAAAGTTTTTATATAATGGATAGGCACTAGACTACTTATTTTACTCTTTGGGTGATTTCTTCGAAAGCTTTTCGTTCTTCTACTTCTCGTTCGGCTACTAGTCGGACGGAGACGCGGGCGACAACTAGTACAATACAAATGAGAATGTTTGAATGGATGTTTGTTTGAAGGTATCACCAGAACGGCTGTAGAGATCTAGCTGAAATTTGATTAGCATAGATGTAGAAAATAGCCGGGAAGAACCCATAGGCTATTTTTTTTTTATAACGCGCAGACGAAGTCGCGGCCGACATCTAGTCATAACAAATGTACTCATCGATCCTTCAAATTCTTTGATAACAAACATCGCCATCTAGCGCATGCGTTACAAGCTCAGATTTTAGGTGAATGCGGTGACAGCGTGCGGCGAACAGATGGCGCTGAACTGCGCGACTTGGCCCGTGGCAAAACACCGGCACTTTGACTTTTAGCGCGGCGACTGGCGGCGACCGTTTACGACTCTGTTCTTGTAGGTCATCGCTTCACCAACACTGTACTGCCATCGTGGCTTGGGAGTCACATAAAAGCTGTCGGATTTTGTAAAAACTTGTAGCTAGCGACCTTCCAATTTTATTTACCTCGTACAGATTGCTGGCGTAGTCGTTTCTTGTTGATAAAAGCTAGATAATTAATACTTGGCATGTTAAGTCTGTTAAGTAGAAATTTAAAAATTTAAGCTATCTAGCGTCACCGAAATTCGAGCTGTAACAATTGGAAAATGAAAGAAAACTTGTTTTATTCGTTAGACATAATGCTAGCTGTCGTCAGAGAGTTCGTCCTTGTGGAGTTGAAAAAAAACTCAATGAGTAGCCTGTCTAAACTTATATAAAAACGGCTAAACACTCACGTATATTCATCCGGTGGCGGCATCGGCCATCGGGGGCCCTTCATCAGGGTGAGTGGGATTGGTATTATTTTGCGTACGCGGCCCGTCGCTCACGGATGAATATACGTGAGTGTTTAGCAGTTTTTATATAAGTTTATTATAATTACTCACGAAAGTTTGAATAATTGAGTAGCCTGTCTGTTCTTCCAACTATATTTTACATCTGTGCCAAACATCAAGACTCGTTCCGGAGATGTCTTTTAACAAACATCCATCTATCCATCCATGTAAACTTTCGCATTAAATTATATTAAGAAATCCTTTTGTGATTTCTGTGGATATATGATGATTTTTGTGGTCTGTGTATTAAAATATTTGTATAATAGTAAGTAGGATTTACTAACGAAAAATCATTCAAAATATAAACTATTTATAGTTTTGTGTCTATACACTTCGTAACCTGTATTCACCCCATATTATGATATACTATTTTTTTACGAATTTTCATAACTATAATAAAAATTCCTTTGTGAGCGACTAAAAATATATATGAAACGAACATGAGCAGAGACCATTCCAGGAAGTAACAATCAAAAGTCAAAATACAAATACATTCTCAATTTTTGCAAACGAAAGAGGTTTTGGCGGGCGCCTGCACTTACATGCGTGCACCGCACCGCAGCGGCCGGCGGCGGCGCGGGCCCCAACACTCGGTGAACACTAGGCAGCACAGCCGACAGCGTACAGCAGTGCATCGCCGCCGCCCGCGGGGAAAGGACGTATCGTTCGTTATCGGCCCTCGCTCCCACGTGCTCTTCGATCTTCGCGGAGGAAATGTTTACATACCGATCCGTTCTTCTCCTGACTTACGACAACAATAAAGTTGGATCCGATTCTAACAAGTAATAAAATAATTAGCACGAGCGTACAAAATTGATCGAAGGAAGTGTCGTGCTTTTAAAAAAAGAAAGTGTAACGTTCTACGGTACTATGCGGTGAGAGTGTCCTATCGTCATGCTCCGAGCGCTGCTGGTGCTAGGCGCGGCGAGCGCGGCGGCCGGCGCCAAGCTCGCGCCTCTCGATGTGCCGCGCTGCTGTCCCGCCGGCCAGAGCCTCTCGCCTGATGCGCTGCGGGCCGCCGCGCTCGAGCCCGCGCGCGCCGCCGCCGCCTGCGCGCCACCAGCACCCGGCACGCCTGCTTGGGCCCCGCTGGTGTACGCGCCCGCTCGCAACACGTTCCTGGAGCGTGGCCGCCTACCGCAGCATTGGCGGCCGCTGGATGCAGCGCTCCCGAGCTGTGCCGCGCTGCGCGTGCTTCCAGAACACGCCGCGCCTTACGCCCTGCTTGCCAACAATGGCTCGCTGCTGCTGCGCGGCACCACCCACGCCCTGCCGCCGGCGCGCTATTGCGCGGACGAGGGCGGCGCGCTCGTTTGCGAGGAAGACGTACCGCACGGACCGACCAAGTGCTGCGCCGAAGGCCAGGGTTTCGACGGTGCCCACTGCGCGGAAGAGTCGGGCACCGCAGATGAGGCACCGACGGCCGTGCTGGACGAGCTTCGCGCGCTCGCCAACGGTAGTGACGTGGGCTTTGGCTGGCCGGCGTGCGCGGAGGGCTCACGGTACGCGGTGGCGGGTGCTCTGGGTGGCGCGCGACTGGAGGCGGGCGGCGCGCTGCGGCTGCGGGCGGCGGGCGGCTGGGCGCGTTTGGCGGGCGGCGCGTGGTGCGCGGAATCGGTGCGAGGTGCGGTGGGCTCGCGCGTGCTGGCTTGCGAGGCGGCGGCTCGCGCGGTGGGTGGCGGGCCGGCGCATCACGCGTTGTACGGCGCGGGGCTAGCCGTGGGTGCGGCGTTCCTCGCGGCCACGCTAGCGGCAAGCTTTGCGCTGCCGGCGGCGCACCACGCGCTGCACTGGCGCTGCCAGACGCACTACGTTGCGGCGCTGATGCTGGGCGACGTGCTGCTGGCCGCGACGCAGCTGGCCGGGGATCGTGTGCCGCCTGGGGTGTGCCGCGCGCTGGGTGAGTCTCGCTGCACCCTGTGCCCTGCCCTCCGTCCGCGTGTGGGCCGCCGTGCTAAGTGACGTGTTTGCTCTGTGCATGTGGTGCGACGCGGCGTGGGCGCGGATTTGTTGCGGGCGCTGCAGCCGTGTGTATGCACTTCCTATTCCTTTCGGCGTTCTTCTGGCTCAACACAATGTGCTTTAACATCTGGTGGACTTTCAGGTGAGTGAGTATCCATTTTATTAAAGACTTCCACAAATAAAATGGAATGACAATAAACACAAGAAGTTTTAAAGGTTTAAGAATAGGTACGTTAATAGTATTTCACAACAACAAATTGTAAATGTCAGTTTGTAATTTTACCAGCCGTATGAAAGGACTAGCCATTAGGTACAGCTCATCATCAGCTCAATGTACGTGCCCAGCGAGAGGCGCGGAGCCTATCCGAAATTAGGGGTGACTAGGCCATAGACAACCATGCTGGCCCAGTGCGTGCATACAGTTCAGTAGAAATGATGAAAACAGCCCGAAAGACAGTTGTTGAGTTTGGTTGTTTTAGCGAGAAATAGGGTTAGTGGTATATAATTTAGCCAAAACAAACAACCGTAGTGATGATATATTTAATGCTTACACTTTAAAATAGTCTTATTAACCCTTTTGTTCATTTTGTATAGTATATAATATAATACATACAACTTTATAAAAATATACCAGCACTATAAAACAATTTTTGACTTAGTTTTTTTTTACTTTGTTTGTTGGTTTTCTTCAAAAAAGAAATGTTGCCACAATAAGGATTAACATGTATCATGTACTTTTTTGTTGTGTTTAAATTTATTGTATTGTATACATAGTCATATTCTCCATCATTATCTTCTGGATTATCTTCAACATTTGCATTTGGCCAGATAAATATTGTTATAAAATGGCATTACCAAAATGCTGTCTTGATGGGCACTTTCAAATCATAGTTTTTGGTTGATGGGAGTGAAATAGAAGTTGTTATTCTTACGTGGTTTTTTACCCAGAATACGCATCTCCATTTAAAAAAAACATTTTCTGCAAAAAAGCATATTGGAAAAAATGTGACTTAGGAAGTTTTTAAAATAACCGATTTAAATAAACTACTTACAAATATTATAAATCCGAATAGTATGGATGGATGTTTGTTAGAAGGTATCTCCAGGACTACTGCATATATCTCGCTCAAATTTATCATACATTTAGAACATAGTCTAGAAGAACACTGTCCTAGGCTACTAATCTAGTTATTCTTAATTCCGCACGGAGTGTGAGTGGCGGGAAATAGCTAGTTTAATAAAAGCAAAATAGAGGCCACGAACAATGACTTTATTTTATAGATAAATAGCTGTCGACTCTGTGACTGACTCTGTCTACGCGCAATTAAGAAAAACTAAATTAGTAGCCTATGTGTTCTTCCAGACTATGTTCTAAATCAATCATACATTTGAGCGAGATCTATGCAGCTTCTGGAGATACCATCTAACATCCATCCATCCTAACATTTGCTTATTACCAATCCAAATATTGTATACAATGGACGTAGATATAGCTAAGCCACTAAAAGGGTTAAAATCCGGTTTTCACGATTCTGGTGGGCGATGGTTGGAGTGGCGTGTGTAGAGCTGGGTGCGTGTGCGCAGGGACTTCCGGCCGACGTCGCTGGAGCGCGGGCAGGAGGCGTGCCGGCTACGCGTGTACCAGGTGTACGCGTGGGGCGCGCCGCTGGCGCTGGCGGGCGCGGGTGCATTGCTGGACCGGCTGCCGGCGGCGGCCGCGGCGGGCTACCTGCGCCCGCGCTTCGCCGTGCGACGCTGCTGGTTTTACGGCGACGCCGAGGTGCTCGTCTACTTCTTCGGCCCGGTGGGCGTACTGCTGCTCGTCAACCTCGCACTCTTCGTCTCCACCACGCGCCAACTCACCTGCGGCCTCTGGCGCCGCGACGAAGTCAAGTCCACATCCGAGAGGTACTAAGCACAGTGAGCCGTGTCATCTAGATAACAAAGAGCGCGCGACGTGACGCCGCAACCATCTTTATAATATTATTATATTTCAGAGTTCGATACTTTGCACGGTGTTTTTACTTTTTTTGTCGTTTGTTTTACTAATATTATATAATAAATGCGTATGTTTAGATGATTGGATGTTTGTTTGAAGGTTTCTCCAAAACGCCCAGTAGATCCCGATTAAATTTGGTATGGATGTAGAACATAGTCTGGGAGAACACATAGGTTACTAATTATTTTTTTTTTCAATTTCGCGCGAACGGAGTCGTGGGTGACAGCTAGTCGAAAAATATTGTGGTAAATTGATGTGCGCAAAGCGATGTTACAGGGGAAACATGAGTGGGAGCGCTTAAACACGGTCCACGAATAAACTAAGAGTTCGGTTAGGAAATGCAAGTCCATGTGGTCGTTGTGTATCGCAGGGCGGCGCTGGGCCGCGTGTGCGCCAAGCTGGTGGTGGTGATGGGCGTGACGTGGGTGGCGGACGTGGTGTCGTGGGCGGCGGGCGGGCCGGCCTACCTCTGGTACGCCACCGACCTGCTCAACGCGCTGCAGGGCCTGTTCATCTTCCTGGTGGCGGGCTGCCAGCCGCACGCGTGGGCGGCCGCCAAGCGCGCGGCGGCGGCGCTATGCGCGCGGCGTGGCCGGCACGCGCGTCACGCCGCGCACTCCTCCTCGCACCTGCCCTCCTGCGGGGAGTCGCTCACGCACACCACGGCCGCGCCCGCGCCGCAGCCGCCCGCCGCGCCCACCGTGCCCACCGCGCCCACCGCGCCCGGTGCACCCGCAGCGCCCGCCGCGCCCCCCGCGCGCCTTCCCATGGAGACGGTGTGCTGACCCGCGCCGGGCGTCCGCTCGGTCTCGGTCTTTCCATACGTATTTGTATATGTGTTAAATAGTATAATGAAGTGAACTTGAACGACTTGAACGTCTCGCCCGTTCTATTGGCTGTTAGTATAACGACAAGCAGTGACAAGTGACCGCCGCGTGTCCGCCGCGAGCTCGCCGTGTGTCCGCCGCGCAGTTGCGTGTGACGTGACGCGTGCAGGTTACAATATTTATATATACGAGTCTGTAAGTGATAAGTTATTAACGATTGAATGTATGAGTACATTTTTATGAAGTATTAATAAAAAAAGAAAGAGAAAGGAGCATAGTTTCATTGTCGTCGCACTCCGCCCCGCAGCCGCATCACTGTAATACTCATTTTGAACGAAACAGTAACATGAGTTAGGAAATGGTATTAAAAACACAGTTTCCATCGTAAATTACATTTCCTGATGGTTTATATATGGGTATGGGTATGGGTATTGGTAAAAAGAAGAACTCGGCTACAACTAAAAGTTATCAATTAGCTAAGGTAAAAGGCCGACAAGTTATGTGGTTATTATTATTTAGAGTAGGAGTAGAGTATTCGCTAGAGTATTCGAATGATGGGATTTCCTTGGTAATATAGACAAACACTGTATATGTATATGACGTGTTAATGCTTTGGCCGCCTATGGATGATATTATGGAGGTCAACGTGGTTATCAAATAGTATGTTTTACCCTTAAATATTTATCACCAAAATTGCTACCGCTATAAAGTCTTTCTTATTTATATTACAAGATTGCATTTCGAAGCGTGCATTGTTTGTATTTCAATAATCACGATTTCTCTTAATGTCTAATATGTATCAGGATGCGGCAAAAGTTGGACAATTGTTTAAGCTAAAATAACGTTTTGACAAACATTTTTAAGAAAACAATTGAAATAAAACAAAAATGTACAAATATTAAATGATGTTAAAAAGCTAACGTCGCGTCGACATTGTTGACTGGGGATTATACAGGACAGGAGTCGTTGTGGTTCATTGCTTGATAAACATTCCAATGAATATTACGTGAGTACGAGATATTGTGCGAGAAGAATCAACACGCACGGCATGCAGCGGCCGCCAGCTGGCTCGCTCGACCTGGCCGCGGCAGTTTACCGAACTTTAACGAAAGTAATGGCGCTCTTGAACCAGTTTTATAAAAATGGTGCTTGTAACAGTAACGAGATGGTGGGGCGCGAGGCGGCGCTGCGGCGGAGAGCGCGCGGGGAAATCCGTTGCGCAGCCCGCCACCCGTCTCTTAGCGGTGTCTGTTTACACCTTCTGCGTAACGTTACCTTGAATTTTGTTCATAATATGACACCCTCGCCTTGTATTATTACATCATGTAAACGAAGATGTCGGTAACAGGCAGTGTCGGAGGCGGCGTCAGCCTTTGCTTTCGTGGAAGTACTCGCGTCTTTGTCTTTTTCCGATGTGACAGGAGTCGTAAAAAGAAAAACATGTCAGAATTTATTAAGTAGCAAAGTAAGTAATCCTAGTTCTCCCGGCGCGGCGGTGGCGGCGGTGGCGGCCGTGGCGGCGGCTGACGGACAAGGCGGGCCCGGAATTACCGTCGGTAGCGCTGCAGTGGCGCCAGACATATATAGCTTTTATTCACATAGAAGTTACAATGAGCGTTTTCGTCTATTTTTACTCTAGCTAGTGCTTCTATGCAAAAATAATAACAATGCTGGTCTTCTCTGCCGACTGAATCTCGGTAATTAACCACAAAGTTTATTTATTTAATGAAACTTTAAATATATATTATACATAGATATGTAAACAACACATATTTGGGAAACATAACACTTTTTTTATAATTTCAGTATTAAATAAACATTGAAAATATTATTTATAAAACAATAGATAATGAAAGGAACAGTTTAAATCAAATATATTTGTAAATAAGTATTTATCTTTTATATATTTATATGTATTAGAAGGCAGGCAGGGTAGGGTCAGGGTTAAATAAAAAGTGGTAAACATTTGCGGCCGCGCTTGTGGGTGGATGGAGGAAAGTGTTGCGAAAAGCTCTTAATACAAGTACAAGTGTGTGCACTATATTATAAAACTGATTTTGTATTGTAAGTCGTAGGGCCGCCTCGCCGCCTCGCCGCCGCATCGGGCGCTAGTTTACAAACATCGCAATCTTCCAGTCTATGTGCTCGTGCGTATTTGAATGAATTACGTTTGCTCGTAACATCGATCACTGCTATTGTCTTCCATTGCACAATAGCATATTTTCACAATGAATTGTCAAATCGACATTTAAATACTTTATCACACCCTCTCCTTGACACACGCACAACGTTATTATGTACGTATTTGAACTATCGTAGATGTAATTTATATGAGACCGCTGATTTTAATTGACATAACTTTATTATTAATGTGTGGTGCAGGAAGAAGCAAGGAGAACATGATGGCCGCCGCGACTCTGGCTGGCTCTGCGGCTGCTGGTGAGCGGACCGGTTCGAGTCGTCCGCCCGCGCCCTCTTGCAGTTGACAAAATCATGACGCGACTTCCTTATTAGCGCTCGGAGATTGTGCGATTGTCTTTGCATCCTCATTACACGAGGCATTCATTAAACGCACGTATTCTATATAAACTACTCTTGATAGTACTGTTTTATAAAACATAGCAGTAGCCCGCCACTTCGTCCGCGTGGAATTTAAAATGTACTAATAAAAAGTGATTTTTTTTTCAAATGAGTTCAGTGATATCAGAGTCTATTCACAAAAACAAGCAAATATAGTTGTTGTTGTTTGTAATATAACTATAGAAGATGGCTGGGACGTAGCAGACTGGCGTGTGAGGACGGAGAGTAGGTGCCTAAATGTCATTGCAGCTTTCGCGCACGAGTTTCATACGAACGGACGGACGTTGCAATTTCTCCCTGTCCTTGTCCTACCCTGCGCGGGTTAGGCACTGGTATTCGTCCTCCCAATCCCAATCTATCTATTATTCAGCATTCGGCCTCCTTGGGTCGTTTGCAGCTCACAGATAGCGTCGTACTCAATACATTAGTTCATTAAGTCGACACAACTACTGAAACAAAAATGAGAAATATCTTCGCAATTTATGAGATGCGTGAGATTCAAGAAACATGTAAAATATCAGATTTTTTTTTAAAATGAACGTAGACATGGTAACATTAATAACCGACGGTCTATTTGTCAAACACGTACAGAAGTACACACCACACACATACACACTTACACACAGACAGAGAGCCGAGTGCGCGAATGGCGAGCGGCGGCGTCGGCGGCGGCGGCGGCGGCGGCGCTACGTTTAGCTCCGGAAGTCGCCGCATCAAAAATACACTTGTTTTCGCTTATTTTAACTACATACCTACCCTACATTTGTAATTTAATTTCTGGTAATTGTATTTTTAATTTACATACGACTAAGGACAAAAGTGTACACGTTTACACACGTTACACACCTTTACATATTTGCACAGAGACCGGCAATTTGCTATAATCGTTGTTGGCAACGGTTACTTTGCTATTTTGTCCAATTTTGTTTGCGGCGATGCCGGTTGCTGTTTTACCATCTTTTACTGTAAAAAAAGTAACGCATCTCACGGTATGAGATCTGCCGTTTTTATTTGGAAGTGACAAGAGCCGACAGCGAGGAGGCTGATCCGCGCCGACGACGGTCTCGATTCTAGCATTTCGCATCTCGCTGCGTGACGTCATCCGGAGCGTGCAAATGTAAACATTTTTATATTTAAAAATACAAGAATCTAGATATGTAAAGATATACAAATAGGTAAGAGCTATTAGTCTTGCGATAAAGATTAATACCTGGCATATCTCATGAGCAAGTAATGTGGGAATGGAATGATCGAGGCTCGAGAGCATGGGGGCGCGGGGCGAGTGAGCTCCGTGCCTGCACCGCTAGCTGAGCGCAACAAGCCTCGCTCTTACAACGGTACACGTCCTCTAGTGCACGCAGTATACTGCGAGAGCGCGGTGTTGCATCGCTCCATCTCGCATATACAAACCTTGATCATCATAAGTTACATTGAATACCAGTTTTTTAACGCAATTGTAGTTACAGTAAACGCAGTGTGCAATAAATCTGAAATAAAGACACTGACAGACTAGCACGTTGCTCACTCCGTAGTTTATAATGTGAGCTGGCGGCGAGGTGTACGCGCTTTGCCAACGTGTACGCATACATGCATACACTCATATATAACTTAAATGACGGTTTCCAGCATAATTAGAACTACAACTTCGGTACGCACTTCAGAGCCTCGGTGGCGCAGTAGGCAGCGCGTAAGTCTCATAATCTTAAGGTCGTGAGTTCGATCCTCACCCGGGGCATTACTTTTGTACCATTTTATAGTGTGGCATGTTATAGTTTGTTTATTTACCAGATTTTTTTACATTTTGAAGTAGTTCTTACTGCAATAATAAAAATGTCAATAGTAAAATGCCATTTATTTTTAACAAATACTTCTACTATTTGAACCCACGACTTCGGCAGCGTCTAATTGAACGAAAATTGTTTATTTCCAAAATTCAGATATATTCACAATTATTAAGATCAAATCAACGACGACATCAACATTGTTTAACTCTATAGCTATATTCTATTTCTGTGAAACTCTTTCATTCCAAAATAAGAAATTTTAGTATAATAAGTTACTAAACACTTTAGTTTATCTGAATCGTATTTCGTTAAAAATTCGATATAAAATGCAGTTTAATTTCTTAGGTCGCTTCCTGATGACAGGTATATTGCAAAATGTTTTCCATACAAATGGCAGAATGTTCAATTTGTCTGGTACAGTCTACAGCTTGAAGTTGGGATGCGTGTTGTACTCTGCGCCACCGCTTTCTCTTTGCCTTCGCCCCCTCCCCTACCGCACGCCGCACGTCGCCAGTCAGCGAAAGCATCAGGGAGGAGCACAGTATACTCACAGTTCGTATTCATAATATTATATTATATTAATGTGACAACCGG